CTCCCTACATTGAGCAGCCAAACACATCTAGATACAAATTTAATTACTGTGTTATATAACGCGGTACTTCATTTGGTTAAAAGGACTAGATGTTACAGTCCCTGATAATGCATTGCTTTAGATGGGGAGACTCTTTAGGGACGGCTGTTATGAGGAAAGGCAGCCCAGAAACTTTGCCAGCTGCACACATCGTTGTGTGCCTCAACGTTCGCTCTTTTACCCAGGCTAATCTGCCATTTTCCTTCCTTGGTTAGGTTTAGGGATTAAAGATTGATCTAGATTATCATTTTAAATTTGGGACATATCATCAGTAGTGGACCTTGGATTAATTACGTGTTTCAGCCATTATCACTAGACACCTTCATCCAAAGAGGCCCTGCCAGGGTATAAGTAATTAATATATTTTAAGGTTCCTTTGCAGTAATTCTATTTTTAATTCTTTGTGGGAATTATCCTACGAGCATGGCGCATCTTTCTTTTGTTTGTTTTCTTCTTGGAGCGTTCAGCCTTGGTGCACAGGTCTCAGATGCTCTGTTGGCCTCAGGTCTGGACCTGATTTTTTCTAGACTCTGGGTGTCTCTCACAGTAACCACCAGCTTCTTGGTTACTTGCTTGTCTAAGGTCTTTTGTCCTCTGTTACTCAGGCTGGGAGGCTAAATGTATGCATTCGCATGTTCCCAGGGAAATATGGTTTACTGGAACCCCACCCCCCATCCACGCACACTCTCCAACAAGGAAACACTCTCTGAACCAAGAACTGGAAAACATTCCTGACTGCAAACAATTACCTCTGCATTACAATTGCACACACCTGCTGCTATATATTTTTAGTATTTCTTTTAGCACTATTTATATTATTATATTACTATTACTGCTGCTATAGTCTTATGCTGCATTAAAACAAAAACCCCTACCAACCACAACCTGGGACTACCTCAAGTAGACTAGTATACTATTTTCCAGGGAACACTGTTGGAACACTTTATTTTTATTTATTTTTAGGTCTTGTCTATCCTGTTACCTATTTAATATTACCTTATTGTTAGGGTTGTTTTTGTTGTGCATCTGCACTTTATTGTTGTCAATGTCTACGCATGGGACAGTGTGAATTTCAATTCCTTTGTGTGGCAAGTACATTTGAAGAAATTGACAAATAAAGTTTTCTATTCTATTTCTATTCTATTCTATTTGCAGCATCTAGCATGACACCTACAGGTGAGGTATAAAAAGGGCACCTGCGTAACCTCCATGCTAGTAGTCAGATAATTTCAAGTGTACCAATATAGTACATTTGTATCTGATACATTCCTTTAGTGCAATTTTAATAATAATATGAGGCTGACACCGAATTTAAAGGAACGCACGAGACTGTCTTGTGGGAACCACTGCTACTTTTTACGTTTCTCAGTAGCTACTCCTGCAACAACCTGTGATGTGCTGTGTCCCTGCCACGAAGACCATCATTTGACTCGCTTTGCATCGTCCTTACTCGTCACGGGACTCTGGAGAATTCTCTTGACCACATGTGGTTTCCACAATTCATTTCCTTCTAACCCGTAACTGTCAGAAAATCCCTACTTCCTGTCTCCCGTTTGTCGTGTTGTTCTCAAACTCCAGCCTCTGTCATTGTTGCATTGTTTTACATTACAGTGGAATCTTGTATTATGGTAATAATAATAATGATGATGATGATGATGATGTGGTTTGACTTTCATCAGACAGAATAGAGGAAAGGGAGAAATGACTGAAACGCAGCAGAGATTCCTCCAAAGAAGCTGACATTCTGGTTTCAGGAGTTGCACAATACAGTGTTATGAAGAAACTTTTATTTTCATTTTTACTGTAAGTGGTGGCATGAACAGCAATACAGTCATGAGACTTTTCAATCATATGACAGTATGACATAAAGACAATAATAAAATGACATTATTCAGTTGTTCAGTGATGATGATCAAGGACAAACTGAATTTATTTGAACAACTGAAAAACACGAAAAACTTAATTCTAGTGCATTTTAGTAAAAAAAAAAGATAAGCTTTCATGTATTCTGTATTTGGTGGATGTTAAGTGAAATCATTTGAGCATTTTTAAACTTTAATTTGAATAATTATGGCATAAAAAATCCATCCAGTATTTCTATTAGATTATTAGAGTATTTTATGAGGTCAAAAAATAACTAGTATTACAGAAATGTTCAACTTCTGTAAGTACTGTATGTTCATTTCACACTGTACTTGGTTTTGGGCTCCTTTACCATGAATTACAGCAGCCTAAGCTGGAGGTGATCAGGTTGTAGTACTGCTAATGTATTACTGATAACCAGGTTGGTTTTTTTTCTAATTGTCTCTTTTGGGCTTTCTAGTCTTTGTTAGACAGATTAGTGAAGAAGAGACAAGAAAACGCACAGCAAAGACCCTCAGGTCAGAGTCCAACCTGGGCAGCTGCATATCTTCGTTGGCTCGGTCACTGAGCCAAACTGGTAACCGCCTTCAGCTCTTTTCGGTCGAGTGTTTCTTATCTTCCTCGTGATGATGTCTCATATTTGGAGATTCTCTGTGGTGTTCTGATTAGGTGAGTTGGCTGGTCCATTAAGCACAGCAATAACGTGGCCAGCAAATCATTTGGTTGTAGCTTTGGCACTGTGGGCAGCTGCTAAAGAAATCAGCCTGTCAGCAGGTGGAAGCTGACATGCTCTAAAATCTCTTGGTAGAAGTTAAGTTGACTTTGGACTAACCACCACAAACACCAGCAGATGCCATGCACCCAGAAACTTCTCACACCTTGGAGTCTGTGTCTCTCCACTCCTCCATCAGCCTCCAGGATCTTGAGTTCCAAATGAAATGCAAAATTTACCTTTATTTTAAAAGTTTCTGTTTCTCTCTTCAGTCCAGGTAAGACTCTTCTGACACCGTATCTGGTTCAGGAGTGCTTGCTACTAGGACACAACAGTTGGTAGTTATTAATGCTCTGACACCAGCCTTAGTCCACTCCCCATGAAGTCCTGAGTAACATGAGTAATTCATTCAAATTGACTTTTGTCTCACGAAAGTTGATTTGAGCCTCTCTAGCCAGCGGATACCGCTGTTGTGTTGCTTTTGCCTTCCAGTCAGCTTTCCACTAATATGCATTGTTAGAGCACTCTGTGAACAGCCAGTCTTTCCACCAACGACCTGCTGTGGCTCACTTGCCCCTCCTTGTGGAGGGTGTTGATTATCGTCATCTGGACGATTGTGATTGTGGATGAATTTACTGAACAAAGGACATGCTGTATTTATGCCTTTTGAATCCCAATCCACTTACATTGAAAATGAATTGATAAAGAAAATAATGCGATTATTAATTAATGTTAATTAATAATTATAACTAAGTGAACTACTGTATTTCTGGTTTTCATGAGTCATAATCATCTAAATTAGAAGAACAAAATTCTTATAACTTTTCACTTTATGTGTAATTAATATAGATTATATGTAAATTTACCTGTTTGAAGTACATTTAAGAAAAAAAAAATCACCAGACTACTGTCGTTTAACACTATGTCAACAGCTACATGCAGGGTAAAGTGGACATGCTACTGATTACATCTAACTTTAAAAAAAAAGAAGCACAAAAACTATTCAGTTTAAAGGTTTGTACCACGTGTTTGGTGAGCACAATTTTGCCAGTCACCACACCCTTTTCTGATCGTGTGTTTCAGCAGATGGAGGGCTTATTTACTACTTGTATTCTTACAAATAAAATCACAAAAACACAGGACTTTTATTTAAATTGAATTTACAGGACGCTGGAGAGCTTTGCTGCATTACAGTATGTTGAATGTTGTTGACATTCCCACAGTAGAAATACACAAATTAGCACATTTTTTAAAAATGACCTTAAATCAAGAATTTGGGAATTTGATCTTCCAAATTTCTTGGAGGAGAACCCTCAGACCCATTTTTATTCATATTTTTAGACTTTGGCAAAGTGGTGCCATATTGGATAACTTGTATTTACGCACAGTTATTTGAACAGATGATCTTGTACTGCAGTTGTTCAGAAATGTTCCATTAAGCTCCTGAAATGACATTTCCAAAGCCCCAAACTCAAGGGAGAAATATAATATATATAATATTATAATATACCCCTTTTGTACAATACTAGCAAAACCCCCCAGATAAAAACTACCCTGCACTTTTCATTATAGAATGAAAGTTGCACTTTCAGCATTAGCTCATTGTTTTTGAATTCCTGTCCTTTCTATACACTTATTTTAATAATTAGACTGCAATATGATACATTTTTGTCCAGCAGAAAACTGCTTCCATTTCTTGTGTCCATTTTAGGAGGAATACAAGTTACAGTCTAAGGAAGATGCATATTAAAACTACATATATTGTCATTGTTTTTGTTTACACAGACCCAGTGGTGAAGACAGCAGGTGAAAAATGTGAAGTAAATGTAAAATGAAGTTTTTGGAGTGAAAATAAAGAAACAACAGTTCTGATGCAGTTCCACTGATGAAAGACACTATTATTTAAGTCAACCTCAGTATTGATGCTTTTTATAAATGGTAAAATGGTAAATGGCCTGTATTTGTATAGTGCTTTATGTGGTCCCTATGGACCCCAAAGCACTTTATACTACATTCAGTCCTCCACCCATTCACACACACATTCACACACTGGTGATGGCAAGCTACATTGTAGCCACAGCTGCCCTGGGGCGCACTGATTCAGTAATTCATAAAAAGTTGTGAATATAATATAATATAATATAATATAATATAATATAATATAATATAATATAATATAATATAATATAATATAATATAATACATTTGAAATGTATAAAATGTATTAGGGACAATTGGCATACCGCGAGTTACTCAGTGAGAGAAGGCCGTGAAGGCACCATGCATTCTGCTCCTCGCCGCCAGAGGGCAACAATGAGCTTAAGAGGTGGTGATGGCAGCCGTGCGCGTGCTGCTTCATCAGCGCTGAGGAAGAGTCACAAGCCCGGTTGTCATGTGTCTTGCTCTGTGGCAGGCAGTCAGCTGACAAATCCGGCTCCTGTGTGATGTTTACTTTCTGTTTTCAGCGCGTTTATCTGCGTTTTTTCTGAATGAATGCGGCGCTATGCTTCGCCCAGGAGGACCATGGTAGTCGTGAACTCGGTGTTGAAGCTGGTGCAGAGGCAGACGTACACCTGTCTGTCCCACCGATACGGGCTGTACCTCTGCTTCGGGGGGATCGTGCTCATGATTGTTTCCGCCTTTCAGTTTGGGGAGGTGAGGTTTCTTCTCTTGTTTCAGCTCCTGTCTCTTACAGACAGCCGCTTCTGCTGTCGAGTTAGCTAGCATTTACTTTCTCCTAACAGCTGTTTTCAGCACACCACCTTCCCACCAGAGTCCACTAAAAATTGCTTGTTTGAGCAGATCTTCCTGAAAGTAAACAGAAATGTATTGCATGTCTTTAAACGACACGTCTCCCCAGACTGCCTCTGTTCTGTGTGTATTCTCCATTAAAACCACTACTGTAGCTCTATTTTAATTAAACTGCCTGCCCCTTTTTTTCAGATGTAGTTTAGATTTAGTTACACCAACTACTACTTGATTTACGTGGAATATCAGATACTAAATCTCCCAAAAATGATTCAGCACTGTAGTGTGCGTGTGATTTTAAAATCGTGAACTACACGGCGTGTTCTTCTGTCCATGCAGGTGGTGGTGGAGTGGAGTAGGGACCAGTATCATGTGCTGTTTGACTCCTACAGAGACAACGTGGGTGGGAAATCATTCCAAAGCAGGTAAAAGAAACCAACCTTGAGCTCATTTCATAGATACATTTTGTGTCTTAGAGGAAATCTATCTTAAGGCATTAGGAACTAGAAATCATAAAAATCTCAAAGCACATTGCACATTTTCTAATCCTAGCAGACAAGAAATGTGAAAGAACCAGACAGGGTTTAGCCATGCATGGATAAAAGTTAATTTACAGAGAAGTGTGTGCTGGGGAGGAAAACGGAGTTGTGGATTTGCAGTTTAAGCGCTGTCTGTTGAATTATGTGTGTGTTTGATTTATTATTTATTTTGGGGTTGTTGTTTTTTTTTGTTTTTTGCAGGCTTTGTCTGCCCATGCCTATTGATGTGGTGTACACATGGGTGAATGGCACAGACATGGCGCTGCTGAGGGAATTGAAGGCAGTCAAAGAGCAACTGGAGGAAGAACAAAAAGCTCAGAGGTAGCTTTATCTCCTAAAGTTCCCAAATACAGTAAAACTCAGCACGAAGGTCAGAGCATCATCAGCTGACATTGATTGGCTTGCTGATGCATGGGAAAAAAAGGGAATTGTGTGATTTTTATCCGCCTCTGAAATGTCATCTGGTGTTAAAATAGACTGCAACAGCCCAATAAAATATAAATGCACTGTTCGTTTACACACAGGGAACGCCTGGGGAGAAACACAAGCGAGACAACTGAAGTGCCAAAAGACAGGTGAGTGTGATGATGGTGTACACAGTGGGTGTGTGATCTGTGAAGTTAAATAAGATGAAGTCTTATTTGTTTAGCAGTTCGTTATTTGGAGTACATATTTAGGGCGTGTGTGTAACAATTATGTGGCGACACAGTAGTGCGGGGGTTGGGACTGTTTCCTCACAGCACCTCCAGTTGTGCATGTTAGGTTAACGTGTTTATTCTAAACTGACTGCTGAATGTGAGAGTGATTGCATGTTTGTGTAAAAATAATATGCAAGTTCAGGATTTAGATAAAGTGCTTGTGCTCAGTGTTTGTTGCAACACAGTCCACAAGAGTCTAATGCAATGAGAGATATGGAGAAGAAAATCTGGGAAGCTGGTAGCTGTTCTTGTGGACTTTGCCCTGTGTCCCCCACCTCGGAGGAAAATATAAGTTTTTAGTTTGTTTTGGGAACTTCTGGTGCAGCTAATGAACATTGAAGCCTAGCCTTCCTCTTCTGTGTGTTGGTCTGTGATTACAAATAGAAAAATAAATAAAAATGCACATACACACCTTAAGACACCTGCTGTTTTATGCTGGTTCTACACTATATTGCCAAAAGTGTTCTCTTGTCTCTTGTTTACACAGATTGAGTGACAGCCCATTCTTAATCCATAGGGTTTAATATGATCTCAGCCCACACTTTGCAGCTAAAACAGCTTCAGCACTTCAGAAGGCTTTCCACAAGGTTTAGGAGTGTGTTTATGGGAATTTTGGACCATTTTTCTAGAGGTGCATCTGTGAGTCAGACACCGATGTTGGACGGGAGGCTGCCTGCACTCCAATTCATCCCAGAAGTGTTCTGTCGGGTTGAAACCAGGACTCTGTGCAGGTCTATGTCTTTATCAGCTTTGCTTTGTGCACTGGTCTGCAGTCATGTTGGAGCATGAAGGGGCCATCCCCAAACTGTTCTCACAAAGTTCGGAGCATGAAATTGTCCAAAATGTCTTGGTGTGCTGAAACATTAAGTTTGTCCTTCACTGGAACTAAGGGGTTGAGCCCAACTCCTGAAAAAAACAAAAACCACACCTTAATCCCCCTCCACCAAACTTTACTTTTAACACAGTGCTTTTGTGTTTATCTATGCAGTCTAATGCAGCTAAGTACCACAGTTCTGCATCATACTGCTCGTCTGTTAACTTACAGAGAGGTTAAAAACAGGTTGCGTCAGTGTGGGTACATGGTGTGTTGAGTTTATTCTCAGACTTGTAGGTGTTGTGAAAAACCTGCTAAATGACTGTTAAAGTCGCAATGCAGTGGCATTGTGTGAACACCGAGGCTGATGTTGAAACAGGAAACACTGGTGGGTTGCACCACACAGAGGGTGTCAACTGATGGGATACCAGTTAGAGAAAAGCAGTTATTATTTTATTAACCAGAATGTTTACCATTGTTTACCATTTAAAGTTTACCATTGTTTTACTTAGCACTGTGATAATTGGCTTTGTTTGGCTTTTATTTAAGAAAAGGGGTGGTACAAAATTTTTTAAATCTTTTTTTTAATAAAAACGTAAATGCATAATGATATAGAAGTGTACATAGAGGTTTTGAAGAAACAGTATTTTATTATTTTATGTTTTCCTCTTGCTTAAATGATATCAGTGCACTGAACATCTCTTTGGATATTTCCTGTTTCTGCTCAACGCTAAAATGTTGGTAGGAAAAAAACCAGCCCCGTCTTTCTTCTTCCTCCTTATTGTTGACTTTTAACCACAGATACGCGAGGTGCTCAGTGCAACATTTTCATGTCTGCTAAATGCGTAAACTTCATCAATTTTATGCATATGTTTTAAACCACAGTGCAAAGGAAGTAGCTCTCTGAGTGAGTGCACAGGTGTAGATGTGCTTATTAAAGGATTATTTATTTATTATTACCCCTTTTTCTGGCCATTTGTTTGCAGTGTTAAGCCTGAATGCCTGCTGTCCCATTGCATCATCGCGCCCATGCTGGCCCTGGATCCCGCTCTGCCGGCCAACATTACGCTCAAAGAGCTGCCATCCCTCTCTCCCTCCTTCTCCGCTGCCAAAGAGCTGCTGCTCATGAACAAACCCTTCCACCAGCCTACCAGCTTCTCCTTGGTCGTCTTTAACTCGCAAGCTGAAGGTAAAGAAACAAAGAGGATCAGTAAAGGATGCTCTTTGAATGACTTCAGTCAGCCGACTGCGGGTGGAAGTGTAGTAGCTGAGCCTAGCGGGCAGTTCGTCACTACAAAACATGTTATTTTTAACTAATGACGTCAGTGATCAATACAGCCGCTGCAGCTGCCAGCAACAGTTTGATCTGCAAAGATGACAGCGGCCAGGATTGAATTATTCATATTCATGCAAGAGCGCTGACGTCCACCCTCTGTGGACAGTGCTAATAGTGTGACACACCGTACAGCATGAAGAGAGACAACACCAGTGGGAGGGCCTAGTTAACAAATAGTGTGTATAAGTGGACGGATTAAGAGATTTTTCTCATTCTATTTTAGTTTTTCTTCTTTATGTTTTACTTGTTCTCCCGACTCATTCAGGCTGTTTTTACCTTACCTAGTTCATCGCACCCTTCTGGATCACTTTAGGCGCCTACACACACACACACACACACACACACACACACACACACACACACACACACACACACACACATTCATTTCAAAGAGGGCGGAGCTGTAAGTGTATACTTTTGTGTGCTTGAAGACATGAAACTATAGCAGGAGTTTAAATTTAATGATAGCGATAACATTAGTGTGGAAGCCAGATTAAATAATCAAGATCGTTGTGCACTGGCATAACACTTGTATTCAGTGCAGTTTCTAACACTAAAACCAGAATTTTGCATTCAGCTTTTGAGGAAACAACTGTGACATAATTCATCTCTAAAATGATGACATTCATCAGTTTTTGTAAAATAATTTAGGGTTTCATTTGCTGACAGGAAACTATTCAGACACAGCATTTAGCAGGCAGTTTGTTTAGTTTGTTGACGTAGCCCACACTTTCCCAGAGTTTGTTCCACTTTGTTTTGCACTTCATGCACGCCTGTCAAAGATCGAACTATGGAAACCTGAAGGTGTGTGTCTGCTGCTCACCATTCGTTCATTGCTCCCTGCAGCCATTAAAGCGTATACAGATGTGTCTAAAGAAGATCAGAAATTCTCTGTGTCCAGATGTTACCTGGTAAGTTTACATCTGTTTTAGCACTTTTTAAGAATTTTGCATTTATTCTCTTTGTGCATGTAATTAATTCTGTTAGCTTTTCCATTTATAAGAGAAGGCAATAAAACACCAAAAGGCTTTTATTTTGAACCTTTGTTGTTGTGTGTCACACAGACAACGGATAAAGAGGCTCCGGGTCTGACCCGCATGCAGACTCTGGCGTATCTGAGCGGCTTCCCTGCGTCCTTCAAGGAGACGGAGAGGTTGCGAGCCAAACTTCCATCTGTCATAACCAGCAAAATCAAACAGGTACCAAAAGTCATTCCTTCTGCTCATTAAATAAAAAATCTTCTACACCACCTTGCTAGAGCATGAAAATAAGGATGTTTTAAAGTTGGTTTTAAAACAGCAGATGGCAGAGTTGCACTTTGGTGAACGTGCAGCAGACGCTGTCACTTTATGTAATTGTATTTCCTACTTTCAAACACTGTATTATTTCCTCCCAATTCCTTGCATTAATTCTTCTTCATCTTATCCCTTATGTGAAATAGTGACATCAGAGCGATGCTAAAGGATGTTTGTATATCACCATCTCAATTACACCAGAGTAGAGAACTATAAGATACTCTCTGATCTTTTTTTTTTAAAGCATAGCACCAAATTCTAAGAATAGTCTAATCGCAGAAGTCAAATCCTCCTTGAAGAGGAGATTGCACCTTCCTGCTAAACCTGCGTTTCTCTATTTTAATCGGTGACGTTGTGTTGTGGATAAAGGGCCTCTGTTTAGCTCAGTGTTGTGCTTGTGTATCTAATAATTTTCTCTAATCAGAACTCTGCTTTATATTTTGAGACAGAGGAATGCCACTAACAGGTTGGGATTACTCAGAAATAACCAAGGAAAACAAACCAGGCCAGGGCTGAGTGACTCTGTAGCTCCAGCCGACAGGCTGCAGGACAGGCCTGAGTCTTCTGATAATGCCCTCATGTGGCTGATGAGCACTAATGGGTGATGCATTAGATAAGGTCTTTCATAACTGCCTTTGTTTTTAATAAGAATTCAAAACAAATGTGTTATCAGAAAGTCTTACAGTGTCAGAGGACATTAAAGCAAACCGATAACTTCCAAAAATCCTTAGTATAGAAATGAGTATTTTTAATTGAAGTAGTTAAATAAATTAAATGAACTATTTTTATATTAATATATTTCACAATTTCACAACAGGGTACCCATCTTCTGATGATCACAAAGCTCAAATCATCCCAAACTGGTTTCTTGAATGTGACAGTATGCTCACTGTACTCATATAAGCACCTTTGAGATGTGGTAGAACGGGACATGATTACAGATGTGCAGCCGATAAATCTGCTGTTTGATAGTATCGTGCCAAAATCTCTGAGCAATGTTTCCAGGACTCTGTTGAATCTGTGTCATGACAGTTTGACAGTTCTTAAGGCAAAAGTTGGTCCCACCTGGTATTAGACAGGTACCTGATAAGGACTACACTAATAATGAGCTATAACATGTAGGTTAACTGCATTTAATCTAACTCATCATTATCCAACCCAGCTGTCCCGTCATTCCTTCCATTCGTCTCCAAGTCTGCCACCGTCTTGCCTGGCAGGTCATGTGATAATAACTAGTGGTATTCAGGCTGTAACCTTAGCTGTCCATGCAGGGGTTAACATTAGAGCAACTGTTTTCAGTGGCGCATTGCCAGCCAGCAGGCCAAAAGGTCACCAGGATTTTTCTGACCTCATCTGCACTCTTAAACACATCCTTGCATCTCAACCACACAGGAAAGATGATGGAAATAGTGTGTGTGTGATTGGTGTTTAGTGGTGGAGGGATTCTAGGTACACAGGCCACCACACAATGCTCAGTTTGGATTTCAGCATATTTCCGGGTGCTTCTTGGCCGGTTCTGTGAAAGAGGGATGATGTGCATAGTGTGGAGGGAGCGGCTGAGCGCTGAGGGGTGGCTGGTATTTATAGCTGGTGTTAGACCGACGACTATAGTGATGAAAGCTGGACCACAGCCCCGATCATCTGCCTGTGCTGTTGCCTGTCAGGTCCTGCCCACTGTGTTTGTGTACAAGTCTGCTGATGTGATTGTATTAGCGTGCGTTTTGATCTGTAGAAGTGTGTGATTGTCCACGTGGTGTGCTGTCTGCTCCATGAAGTGAGGTTACATACAGTATGTTCACAGAAATACAGAGCAAATAAGACAGTCACAAAAATGTTGAATTTCTAAGACAAAGTAAACCGTTTGTACGTGCTTGGCCAGGACATCCTTGTAAAAGAGATTTTATGATCTTGATGGATAATTTTTTTTCCTGGTTAAATACATATGAAATTAATATACAGATGTATAATATATCAGCCAACTGTCATCTGAATGTGATAGAAAGTTTGAGCTGTGTTTGCTTTTATTACCAAGCAGTCTGACTAGGATTTAAACAACTATAAACACAGAGAAATGCCTTCGGTCACTCAGGCTAAATCAGTTTTCACAACTTCCTTGTTTCATTGACAGAAAGAATCCAGAACCCAGAACTTGAGCTATAGAAAATTTCAAAGTAAAAGTTGTGCCTCAGAACTGTAGCCAACATATTTTTGAAGGTGATCCTTTTACTTTGAAAGCAAAAGGATGTCACATTTTTCACAGGTTTCCTAAACCTTGGACAGTGTTTGTAGACTAAGTCCATCACTTCAATTCAAACTACGACAACAGAAATATGCTAGTGACCGATACAATGACAGCGTAGTTTTCCTTGACGACAGCTGGTTGCAATGTGCCCAGTCTGTAGACCTGGTGTAACCAATGTTTTTCCCAGCAACTGTTGTCAGTCTCCAACAATCACTCATAGACACTTGCAAAATACAAATTTTTCCCTAATAATCAGTGGTTGCCAGATGGTTGCAGATCAGTCTCTAGGCCTGTCTGTCTTGGGTCTTATTCAGTTTGAATCACAGTTGTCACAGGTTTGTGGACTGAAATTGCGATGCCAATGTAGCGGTCATCTTTTAGAGCTAAGACTGATTGTGATATGGGTTGAATGCTAGCAACCCTTCAGCAAGGACTGTATAGATCAGGGGTCCCCAATCCCAGTCCACAGGGCTGGTGTCCCTGCAGGTCTTAGATGTGTCCTTGATCCATCACAGCTGATTTAAATGGATAAATTAGCTTCTCAACATGTCTTGAAGTTCTCCAGAGGCCTGGTAATGAACTAATCATGTGATTCAGGTGTGTTGACCCAGGGTGAGATCTAAAACCTGTAGGGACACCGGCCCTCGTGGACTGGGATTGGGGACCCCTGGTATAGATTCTTGACACAGCGACTGGCAGATAGATGCTAACTGGTATTTCTATAGCAAATCACAAAAACAGCTGCCTCATGGCGCTTTATCTTGTAAGATTGAGACCCTACAATAATATAGAACAAACCCCAACAATGAAACAACCTCCTTTAAGGAAGCACATGGCGAGAGTGGGAAGGGAAAAACTCCCTTTTAAAAGGAAGAAACCTCCGGCAGAAGCAGGCTCATACTTGTGTGCTTCAGTGACCCACAAAGAGAAGGACGATGCAGATCGAGCTGCATGCTGCTGCAACATCCCAGTCCATCTGCTTGAAAAGATCACTCGGCACTGGGTTAATTACTTTATCCACATTGTCAACTTATTTTTCTAGACTAATTACATTGTCCACAGTCCCTGCAGTGACACACGGCCCACAGTGATGAGGGTTTATTATGTGTTGAGAGTATAATACACATGGGACATGTTAATACTGTGGTGTGGAATAACTCGCGCAGCCGCCTGAAGCAGATGAGCTGATGAAATTAAATTTCACAACAACCATTCCCCCTCTACTTCAAAACAAGGAAACCTATCCATATATTTAGTGCCTTTTCTTTTTTTTCTTTTTTTTTGACAGTCTGTGTTCTCCCAAAATTAAGACAGGAAGTGGTCACATGCAATGACAAGAAAATTGAGGATTTTTCCACCTCTGGGTTAGCCGTTGTTAGCTGTGGAACCAGTTTGGTTTCATGTGTCAAGCATGCTGCTGTAAGCGGACGCTGCTGAACATAGCTCGACTGTTTATGATGAGAAATGTTAAAGCAAGACGAAGCAGTTACTGTATGGGATAGCGCTTAATCCTGAAACCCAGTAACAGTAGCACAAGAAATCATTAAATCACTGAACTGATATTAAACCCTGGAGGATCTTAGAAAAATGCATACACATTGGTCTTAGAGCCACAAATCGACCCAAGGCCCTCCAGGGTTTAAAGAAGGATTATGATGTAATATGTTTTGTGTTTGCTTACATTGGTTTTTGTTTTTCAGCTTTATTGACAGATACAATGAAATGAAAAAATATGAAGATTTCCAGCAGTCCTTAAACCAAATGTCCTTATAACCAAATATTGTTGTTCATAATTTACTTAAATTAAAAATGAATGTACAAAATGTTCTTATGACAAGTATCTATAGGTCAAATTACCAAAGTTTGGTTATTTTTTATATTGATTATGATGCATTAGATAAAAAGGTTTGTGGGTATAAATTTACACTTCTTTGGAAAGCGTGCGTCTGTGTAAAGCTGCCACACACCTCTGCTTTTTGTGTATGTGCCAGTGCATTATCATGACTATAAAGAGTGCAACCTGATCTGTGCCTTGTTGTCTCCGGGCTGCGTCCCGCTGGGTTTATAAGTCCCAGCTAATCCGCCTCACCTAAAAACAGGAGCAGAGGAAAAAAAGCGGACGAGTGGAGGCAGAACACGATCTCGTGTGAAGGGACTCAAGAAGTTTTTCCTGTAAAGTAAAATACTCGATTACTTGCTGTTAGCAATATTTTACTATTGCAGCTCATTTTGACTATTATACAGCGCTTAAAGAATTTATTAGCTCACCTTTCAGAAACACAAGAAAATACAAATATCCAAAATATTTGTATTTTGTTGTGTAAGACAAAAAAAGTGTTGTTATTTGTTAGATAAATAAGAAAACTTAATAAGTTTGACCTGGCACACTGGACTTCTCTAAAAAGTCAGAAATTAACCAAACATAACATTTAAACCCTAAAACAAATGGTTTTTGTTCAGGAATGCAAGTAAATACTCAAACAGTTTTAGAGTAAAGTACTTGTGGACACTGGTGGATTTATCAGTGCAGAACCATAAAAGAAATATTTTGGTAAATATCAGCACTGTTAATCTTAGGGAAGCTGTCGCATAAAGCTTCCACTGTATCTTGGTCTAATAAATTTATTAAGCATTGCATATTTATATCTCAAGTTTTTTGCAGTATTTTTATATGGAGTTTATTTGTATATAAACATCCTTACCCTGTAATGCCTGTGCCATGAAGAAAACTTAAAAATTCAAAGTATTTAAAAAAACAGACAAATTCAAAAAAATAAGAAATAAAGTCTTTATTTGCATAAGAAAGTTTTAATTTGTATGATTTTTGTTGAATACAGGAATATTGAGAATTTATTGCTCACAGTTTGTTTATTTTAAGCAAACATATACAGTGGTAAAAATGACTAAAAAGTGTTAAAGGATTAAGAATATTGTTCTTTAATGGCTAAAGTGGTCAGAAAATGATGCAGAGTGAAAAAGGTGCAATATTTTACTTAAAAAAAAAAAAAATGAAGCAGCTGAAAGTTTTTTGCTGTTCATGTTGTGGAGGCGTTTTTTAATGTTTGAGAGAGTAGACAAAAGGTTTTTAATATCCAAGGCTGGGGGCTCACACACTCGCACGCACGCACGCACGCACACAAACACACACAGAGGGCTTTGATGCCACACATAACTCCTCTGAGATCAGACAGAGTCATATTCATGTGACCCTGCTGGAGAAGATGACATCACAGAACTTTCCGAACTCTCACCTCTTTATACGCACGCACGCACGTGTATCTATGACTTCAGAGGACCTTTACTGTGACTAGCTTATCTCTCTATCAGCTAACTTTAACTGTAACTACTGCTTGCCTAACCTTTTGAGGAACTGCTTTTGTCTCCATGGAAAGACTTAGTCAACTGTTTTTTCCAGTCATTTTTGTCAGCCTCATTTATCGCCGTCTTTCAGAATTTTCCCTCTCCTAGTCTCTGCTATAAGCTGCTGCTTTAAATTGAAATCTTTCTCACTGTTGCATATGGAGAGTTTTGATTTTCGGCTTTATCGGGGAGCATTTTTAAGTTGGTAACTCTGTCCAACTAGAGGTTTAGTGCTTTTAGGTTTTAGAAGGAGAATTAAGCCTTATGTAAAATGCTTGTTTTTACTTTTTGTGGATTAATAAAATAATAATAAGCCTATAAACATGTCAACAGCTCTGTGAATTGCAGCTTCAGTCCACTGAGTAATATTTTATGAAAATTTACCACCATTAACAGCTGTCTTTAGTGCTCTAAATCTGTAGGTTTAGCATGCTTGGCACTAAACAGAAGCTACAGCTGAAGATGGTAAACAGGTTTTTAGTCCAAAAGTGTAATTTCAACCAACTTGATAAGTGACATTTGAATAGTCAGAAATGACAAAGTTGATAGACGATGTGTACCAAATGTGACTGCAGATTTGTATTTAAAAACCAAAAAATGTAGCCCCCTGGTGGCCGTAAGACAGAACAACATTAAAAGGTATTGTGTGAATTGCAGGATCAAAAGTAGAGCCTAAACATTAGTATATCTTTATCCTTTATCCTCTGCTTCATTTATTTTTACCAGGTCAAGTAACTTATTAAAATGCTACTGCAAACCACTGGACTATTCTTCCAAGCAATTAACACTGTAATTGAAATGTGTTTATTTGTCCCTCAGTTTGAGTTGTACTCAGAAGCCAGCATCGCCCTGCTCCACCTCAACACGCAACAGGATTTCACTGACTTGACTCAGCAGGCCAAGAAGAACCTGACACTGGATGGGAAAGAGTTAACCATCAGTCCTGCATACTTGTTCTGGGACCTCACTGCTATTTCACAGGTAGAGTCTTCTTTTTTTTAATCCTTTAATAATTGGCATTTGGTTTATTTATTTATTTTTTACACAGTATTGCAAGATGTGTGCGGTAGGCACTATATATAAGATATATAAGATGTTAAGAAAGAAGTGTTGTGTGTTTGCCCTCCAGTCTAAACAGGATGAAGATGTATCAGCCAGTCGATTCGAGGACAACGAGGAGCTTCGTTATTCGCTGCGCTCTATTGAGAGACACGCCCCCTGGGTGCGACACATCTTCATCGTCACCAATGGGCAAATTCCCTCCTGGCTCAACTTGGATAACCCCAGAGTTTCAGTTATTACACATCAGGTAAAACTTGAGCCTCAACTTCTACAACAATAAAGGTCCGGCTGGAATACAGAAGCTATGCTTTTATTCATAGTTTATTGTGTAAATTAGCTAACTGCTCCTTTTGGATTTCCAGGATATCTTCTCGAACCACAGCCACCTTCCCACTTTCAGCTCACCTGCTATAGAGACCCACATCCATCGTATTCCTGGGCTCTCCCAGAAATTTATTTACCTCAATGATGATGTGATGTTTGGCAAAGATGTGTGGCCTGATGACTTCTACAGCCACTCAAAAGGACAGAAGGTGCGAACACAACATGAAAAGTGCTCACAGTGAAGTTTGCCCTGAAATATGAGCCACAGTTTCATTTTTTAAATACTGAAAACTGGCTTTATTTTGCTCAATTCCCTGCAGGTATACCTCACCTGGCCGGTTCCTAACTGTGCAGAAGGCTGCCCAGGATCCTGGATCAAAGATGGGTACTGTGACAAGGCCTGCAACAACTCAGCTTGTGACTGGGATGGAGGAGACTGCCTGGGTAAAGATATCAACACCGTTGCGTCTTTTTTGTAAATGGGCATGTTTGTGCTGTGTATATTAAATTTTTTAATCCTTCTCTAAAAGGTGCAGCAGGGAGCAGTCGATTCCCTGGTGGGGTCGGTCCCGGTGGGGCTGGAGGGGCCGGGGGACAGGTGTGGCAGTTTGCAGGTGGTCTAGGAGGCATAGCGGGGACATCCTACTGCAATCAAGGCTGTGCCAACTCCTGGCTGGCTGACAAGTTCTGTGACCAGGCCTGTAATGTACTTTCCTGTGGCTTTGATGTGGGAGACTGTGGCCAAGGTATGTTTAAAGCAATACATGTAATAGTGTTTGTTTTGTTTGTTTTTTTGGTGTTTCTTTTGGTTTTTACTATTTTATAATATAACCCTCAAAGGTAATCAGGTCTTTCTGTTGTATTATTTTAGGTTCAATACCTGCAAAAGGATTAATAAATTGGTAATATGTACAAATATAACTGCTAATAATATGTAATAAAATATGCTGACAAAAATCCTTTTAAAACGTAAACATTTTAAAATCATAATAGGTAAAATACCAGACTATGGTAAATTATGTTTTAAAGAATAAAAGATTTATTTTATTAATCTACTCACTTAGTTACTTTCTCATTTTATTATTTATTTAGTTACTCATATACATACTTGTTTATTTTATTGATACCAGAATTTAAATTACTCTGTTGCAGATTCAGCACAAAGAATAAAGTAAAAGCAGTAGTCTACACTAAAAACAAAAGACTTTGTTATACTTGGAACAGCCATATTGTCAAAATTGTAAAAATTGTCATATGCAACATGGATAAATGAAGATAACAAAAAAGACATAATAAAAACTATCCCCAAAATTAAAAAATTACTGCAATTAAAGCCCCAAAAATGACATGAATATACAGTAGCTTAGAAACTATGAGCACAGCTAAATAGAGAATGTAGAAAATATTTTTTTAATAAAGGTGAAGACGTTTTTCAGTTAATTACATTTTAAATGAGATGCAATCAGGAGCTGAAATGTAGAATGAACGTATGTATTGTGACATGAACTAGCAAAGACTGTGCGAATCGTTCCGTAAACAGCAAAGCTGTAAGAGATGTTATACAGTGTGTTTAACTGCATGTCCAGCAAATGGTGCAGAGGCTGGTCAGGATCCTGACAGAGGAAGCCGAGCAGTGTGGTGAATCAGTCAGGAACAGTATTGATGAATTTCCTCAGTGAGTAATATGGACGCATTCCAACAGCCGGCAGGTCGATAATCAGGTGACAGAAATGCTCCTTCACGGTAACATATCCAGGATTATGGCACTTTTCACTCACTTCTTCTTACTACTCAGATTAGTGTCTCTGTCTTATCAGTATAGCCACACAATATATCAATATATCAATCTGTCTGCGTGTTTGTCTCTTTGTCCACCAACTCCTCCTAGACCTTTAGGAGATGAACAACCAAACTTGGCACAAAGGTGCATCGTAGGCCCCTGAATGTTCTGATCTGTATCAGACACCACAGTGTTATCATATTGCCCTCCACCCACCTAACAACAGGCTGAAATGACTTGGTTTTTGACTTTTTGCAGCTATAACATCTTATGAAAGCTAAACTATACATTATATATTGTAACGTCATTATGTTGCCTAGCAAGCACCCTTTTGCATATATGCACCCACAACTCTTTATAAAAGCTTTGCAGCACAGACGATACTGTAGCCAAACATGTATTAATAATATTACTAAGTATCCTATAAGAACTTATAAGGATTGACTTGTTTTTATGTTCTGACACCATAGTTCTTGAATACACAGTCTAAATGTGCAGTGTAATTTGCGTATGAACAATAAACAAGCTTATGTTTTTATTTAAAGTGAACCTTTTTGTTGCTACTAGCACCCTAAACATATTCTTTTGTCGTAGGGGGGAAAAAGACATTCGAAGTGTGTCCCTTGGGGAAGTGAGAACGTTTTGAAAGAACTCTTTTCTTTTTTAGAACACTTTAACGAGCTGCATCATGTGACCCTACTGAGGAACCAGAGCCACTACACGCTCCCTGTGGGTGAAGTCAGGCCGTATTTCAGCTTTGAGAAACTCGCTCGCAGAGTCTCCGAAGCCCACATCAGCGAGAACCCCGTGGTCCGTCACACCTCTGTCGCAAACAAGTGGAAGACCATTCACCTGCTGCTCCACCCTGGTTACAACGCGACCCAGATCCACTACAACCTCACTTTTCAGAGAGACGACGACACAGAGTTTGCTATGAGCTTCAGTGTGGCTGTCGACACCCGTGAGGTTTCTCAAACTAACGCGTCCCCGACTTCAAGCAAAGATGCAGGAAAAGAACCGAACGCGACTCCGACCCCGGACCCAGTGTTCCCTTTCTCTGATATTCCTGAAAACAAACGAGGGCCTAAGCTCAAGAAAGGGCAGCCTGGAGATCCTCAGACTATCATAGAGGTTCCTTCTTTAAATGTGTCACTTTTACCAGCTGCTGTGCGCAAAGAGCTTCAAAAGCTGGAGGAAAAGCTTCTGATCGGTGACATTACTATGAAGGGTTACAATCTCACAAAAGCTGAACTTTTAAAGCCTTACAAGAACCTGGCGGAAAAGCATTTGATCCCTGATTCACAGCTAGGCAAAGATGATGCGAGCAGAGTCCAGAAGAAGTCCTATAAAGACTTGGACGGAGAGGATTTGAAAGGAAAAGATGAAACTGGAAATAAAGAAGAAATGTCTAAGAAAGATGTTGCCGTGAAAGACAAACCCGTTACTCCTCTCGTACCAGTCCACATTGATGATAAACTTCTGAAAGATTTGATAACTGAAAGACCTTTCTCTCTGAAAACTGCGATTGAGAGGCCCCTGACATCAAAGCTTTTAAACAGACTTTCCCTCCAAAAAAGTGCGGAGAGTCAGGCTGAGCCGGATAATGCTGCTGCAGTGGGGAGAAGGCTCCAGCACTTCATCTCCTCAGACCGAGGCTTCCTGCCGTGGGAGAGGAGAAAGTATTTCCAAGCTTTACTTGAGGTTTGTACATCCCTGTCTTCAATTTAAAGCTCCACTCAAAAAACTTGATTAAAAATAAATAAATTTGTGTTTACTCCACAGGAAGAGGAGCGTCTTGAGAGCGAAATGGCGTATGAGACCGATGGCACCGCTACCAGGCGAAAGCTTCAGGACACTTTTGCTGACTCGTTGCGCTACGTCAACAAGCTGCTCAACGGCCAGTTTGGCTTCACGTCTCGCAAAGTCCCCGCACACATGCCGCACATGATCGATCGTCTCATCATGCAGGAGCTGCAGGACACGTAAGTGATATTCTGTCTTATCAAATCAGATTTATATAAATATATTTCTATTTCTATACATGCTTAGAAACAGCTCATCTGTTTCTAAACAGTCATTATTTATATCAACCACTCTGCTTGGTCTTCTTCAGATTCCCGCAAGAGTTTGACAAAACATCGGGCCACCGTGTTCGTCACTCTGAGGACATGCAGTTTGCCTTTTCATACTTTTACTTCCTGATGAGCGCTCAGGATCAGCTCAACGTGTCCGAAGTGTTTGATGACATCGACACCGATCATTCGGGTATCTTGTCTGATCGTGAGATTCGAACTCTCGCTACAAGGATCCACGAGCTTCCACTAAGCCTCCAAGTTAGTCAAAACATCTTTCCCAGCGTACATGTCAGTAAACAGTTTCCAACAGTTCCAGTTTTGAGTTTTGTTTTTATTCTTCGTGCCGTTTTTAGGACCTGACAGGTTTGGAGCAGATGCTGATAAACTGCTCTAAGACACTCCCAACTAACCTGACCCAGCTTCACCTGGTCAACCCCACTCAAGAAGCCTACTATGATCCTAGCATGGTGAGATGTACAGCTGGCTTGACAAGGTAATATTTATTCAGTGTTGAATTATTTGGCTGATTTTCTGTTTTCCTAATCTGCAGCCTCCTGTCACAAAAGGCCTCATCCTCCACTGCAAGCCAATCGCAGAACGTATTCACAAAGCCTTCAGAGACCAGAATAAATACAAGTGAGATTTAATTTATTTCAATGTGTACAAGTAGTTGTGTATACTAAGCTGACAGAGCGCTTTTGATGGACAGGTTTGAGATCATGGGGGAGGAGGAGATAGCTTTCAAGATGGTGCGGACCAATGTGTCCCACGTGGTCGGCCAGTTAGATGACATTAGGAAAAATCCCAGGTGAGGAGAACTTTATATTCCTTAGAAGCAGATGCTTTTTCATTGTTTTACCTTAATGCGGTGCAATCAAAGTTTACATCTCTGCCATCCTTGTTGTTGAACTGTGTTATTTTCTTTAATTTCACCAAAAGGAAGTTCATCTGTCTGAATGATAACATCGACCACAGTCATAAGGACGCTGCCACAGTGAAAGCTGTGCTGAGAGATTTCTACGAATCAATGTTCCCGCTGCCGTCCCAGTTTGAACTGCCCAGAGAGTACCGCAACAGGTTCCTGCATATGGAAGAACTCCAGGAATGGTATGTTTAGCATTTTTAGCAAGTTATATCCATTAACTGCCATCTAATAAGTGCTAACTTCTAAATAAAATAATATCAGAGTTTAAGTTGTTAGAGATCTGTCGATAGAGTTACACAGGAATATGCACCAATCAAGCAGAAACCGAACCAAGAGATTCAGTTTAGTGGTTTGAATTTGCAGAAATGATGTCTCACAAATAGGGATGGGTATCGTTTAGGTTTTATCCGATACCGGTGCCAAATCGGTACTTTTGAAACGGTGCCGGTGCTCAAACGGTGCTCAAACCGGTGCTTAAAGAATGGAGAACACAAAATTGGTCCAAAAACCTCTCATGTTCAGCTGTTTTTTTGTAAAAAGATAACAATGTTAGCCTTTTCTGCAGCTATGGGGCATATATGGTATCACTCTTGGCTGGAAGCAGTGCTTAAACAATGGAAAAAACACAAACTTTGTCCAAAAACCTCTCATGTTTAACTGTTTTCCACTTTTTCTTTGGTCATTTTAGCCTTTTTGGCCAGGGTGAAGGGAGTATCTGCCATCAAACAAGAGGACAGCCGCATGTAGCTATGATGATGTTTGCTAGTTCACCTTACATGCATTAATGTAATAACGTGGTTAGCCTACTCAACGTAAATCACACAAGAACAACATTAAGCTACTCACGCAGAGAAGAACGGCTGCTGCTGCCATCAAATACGGCGCATTTCTCGGCTTTTAAAAAAACGCTATGCTTCGCCAGGTGTTTCATGAGATTCGAGGTGTTACCTCCTTTAACAGTATCAGCTTAAAGCACTTGTTGCTGCTGAGTTTGCATATTTTGCTGTGAAGTACAGCCAGACTTTTAACCGCTTCGCCTTGGACATTTTTAATCTGTAGCTCTGTGCTAACAGAACGTACGTACCTGGCCCCGCCTACTATACTCGGAAACGTAAAACGATTGGCTAAAAGTGTATCACAGCTCAGGAAAAAAAAAGCACCGAAATAAAGCACCGAAATGTGCGCTGCTTTTCGGTCTGGTTACTACCGTTTATGCCATGATGGCACCGGACACCGGTACCCATCCCTACTCACAGTTAGCAACTTCTAGCCACCTGTTACAGCACATATCCAGCCTCTGCCTTACCTCTGCCTTTGTCATGGATTACTTCTAAGCCTTAATTAAAAGGGCGAGTTATTTAAAAATTTGCGTCTGTAAAGTTGGTCTGAAGAGGACCAGAATAATTTTATGTATCAGGCTGTAAACAAGCTTATTTTTGCTAGTTTGGCATTTTAAGTGTGGAGGTGGACTCACTTTTGGAGTGAGCATCAAGTGGTCATGCAAGGAACTGCAGTTTTCAGCCCCAGAGGTCGCAGCTGGGCTAAACAACCTTTAGTTTAGACTCCTGAAAATATCAGAGAATTCAAAATTTTCATCTCTCTGATTCAGTGAACACAGATTTGTGGAAGCTGATCCCCCCTGTAACATTGAAATTTATGGATGAACTGCCTTTAGGTTACATTTAAATTGTCTGCTTTGTCAACTGCAGCAAGGAGTAGGTCACCAGAACAGTAGTGAATATTTTTAATCACTTTTGTTACATGGCATATTTGAAAGCTTTGTCTATTAAATATCCATAAATAACAGGAAAATGTGTCGTTTTTTGTCAAATATGGCAACACCTTTTGGCAACAAGAACTGAGATGCTTTAAACTAAGGCATGCACACAAATATAACTTTAAGCTCTGACTCCTTCCCTCACAGTCGAGCTGTTTTCTCCATTCATACTAAGGTATGAATTTGTGTCTGTCACCACGCAGGACAGCGCATTGCCATGTTGGACCAGTGGGAATCCCTCTGGAGAGTTACAGGGCTCTTTGTCAGGGATCCTGCTCCTGCATTCAGGGCGCTTCACCAAGGGAATGCAAGCCTCACATAGAGGCTTTGTAATTAGACCGAGCCGCTTCAGATGAATCACTAGTTTTAAGATGCTTGTAAGATCATTAAATGGCTGAGACTCTCAACTCCACCCCTTCCTTTCCACATCTATTTTCCATGTCTGTTTGTAAGCTTGACAGGCAGATGGTGTTGGGTGATGTCACCTTGTCATTCCATTGCTGGCTGTCCTCTGCGTACTGCATGCTTCCTCCTTGTTACATCACACCTTATCATCCACTGACCTGCCACTGCGAATGTTTACCTAATGCAGAACGATCATTTGACGCCTGCCTCTGTACCTGTTGGAGTTGGATTGAAGTTTTTTGTTAACTGATTGAAATGTGTTGTTTCCCAGGCGGGTGTATCGGGACAAGTTGAAGTTCTGGACCCACTGTGTCCTCGTGACCCTCGTCATCTTCACTGTCATATCCTTCTTCGCCGAACAGGTCAGTGTTAACCATGAACCACGCTCTGCTCATTTAGACATTCAGACAAAGATACACACAGAATTTGCTTGCACACCTCTCCGTTTCCATGATTCACGCTTGAGTTATGATAACGGCCTTCGCTACCGAAATTCCTCTCTGAGGAGCGTCCATCTCGTGTGTCGAGCTAGTATGACCAGCTATGTCGTGACCGGCCTTTATCAAGATGAAAGACCCCAGCAGCCTTTTATGGAAGGCAAGACTTAACTGTCTTTGTTAACTGGGATCAGACAATTCCTGCTATATATTGAACCTTCAGAAAAGTTGCATTTCAAGCTGTAATAATATACAGAAAGTACTTAAAATCATTTTAAAAGCAGGAAAATATTATTGGACACATTTCAAATTCTTCCTCTTTGGTGTTGGAAACGGTTTAAAACAAATGCCACGAGTTGTTTAACAAATACTAGTCGACTGTTCTGAGGTACCTTCCTAATCCAGAGGTTTCCAGTTTCTCCTCAGCGAACTAAAAGAAAGGTTAATAGTTGCAGTGACCTTAGGAGAATTTCCTTCACAGAAACCCACGGGACCAGTGTGTCACACTTGTCTTGTGTCGTTGTCACTGTACACAGACTGACTTCTGATGTCTTTCTGGCACTATCTGAATCTGGCTGCCCTTCTGTTTATGTCAGAGTTTAGATTGGAGAGATCAAATGTGTCTTCACTCCTCAGAGGGAGGTGATTTTACTCGGCTGCTCCATGTCTAAGATTATCTTTGCTTTCTTGAGTTACAAACATCTGAGGGGACTCTGGTATCAAAGCCTTGATTGGTGAAATTAATAGTTTGACATTTTGGGAAATATACTTGCAGTCTGGGCACAGTTACATGAGAACATTGATGCCACTTATAACCCTTTGCTGTTGCTAAAAAAACAAATGAAAAATGGTGCCAATGAGGAGGTCGAGACGTGGAGTCAAACTGCCGACCTTCTGATTTATAAACCTTTGCTTTACCACACACACTGTATCCTTTTGACAGTCGTGAAAAATGAAATGACAGCAATTTCCTGTGCTGTGATTTAAAAGTCGTGTTTTCCTATTTTTAATAAAGAAAAATGTTATTTTAGATACAATAGATCTGCATTTGGCAGCAATAACTTGAGCTAGATATTTTCTGTATGACTTTCCCAGTCTCACATATATTGCTGAGGAATTGGCATTAATTCATGCACAGCTCTCTTAAGGTCTCTGCACAGCATTTAAACCAGGTTGAGGTTCATTCTTCCCTTTTTCAGCCTTTGTGCTGTAGATTTACTGCTGTTCCTGACGCAGTTTGGGCCAAGCTTTAACTTTAGGCCTCACACTTGACTCTAGAATACTTTGGTATACAGAAGAGTTCATGGTTGGCTCTATGCCTCCAAGGTGCCCAGGTTCTGTGGTCACAAAACGAGCACAAATGACTACCCCTCCGCCACCGTACTGACAATTGGCATTAGGTGTTTGTGCTGTGTTTGGTTTTCTCCCGACACGGTGCTGTGCATTATAGCCAAATATCTATACTTTGTGGTTTGTTTGACTTTGCAAACCTAAGCTGTGCTGTCATGTTCTTTAAGACTGAATAACAAGCCATACTTACTCAGTGTTTTTCTAATTCTGCTGTGATGAACTTTAACATTTAACATGCTAACTGATGCCTGTAGAGTCTAAGATGTAGATTTCGGGGGTTTTGTAGTTTCTCCATGAATCACATGGTCTGATCTTGGAGTGAATTTGCTTTGACAACCACTCCTGGGAAGATTGCGGCAATATATTCACACCGGAATTTGCCAGACCTGCAAACTGCCTTGACCTTTTCTTTGCTTTTATAGAGGTGCTCACATTTGCTGATGATCATTTAATTAGGTGCATTATAGATTGGATAGATAGATCTCTATCTCCTCCATGTCTGTTCAGAAGGAAGTTAATGACCTTTATTGCCACCCCTTTCATATTCAATCAGTTGTTCTCCAGGTTTAGTAGTGACATTTCCTCTTTCCCCTGTTCCTGCAGCTCATCCTGCTGAAGCGAAAGCTGTTCCCCAGACGCAGGATGAACCGGGAAAGCAACCCGGAGCGGGTGTGAAAGCGGAAGACTTCCCTCTCTTCATTTTATTGAACAACAGCCTTGGCGCCTCCTCTCCACCTCCACAGTGAGCACAGGAGAAGGATGCAAGCCAGCTGGAAAAAGCAATCCAAGATCCTCGGCGCAGAATTACATCACCGTGGATTTGAGGAGAGACTCGTGTGAAATGTTAATGAAACATTTTTCAGAAGATGATAGACAGGGCTGGCCGGTGAGGAGAATAGCAGCCAGACAGGAGGTGCTCATAAATCTTCTTCTCTTCCACTGGAGGCACCCGAGACTTTTTACACACCACGAACAAGCAAAACTCCTTCCACCCTGCACCACCCTCCTCACGTCCTGCCCTCAGCATGCCACTGATTAGTATTCTGTTAAAGTGGGAAACACTTGATATCAGCATGTCAGTGTCTGTCGAGACAAATTTAAAGGTTTTTTTGTTTGTTTGTTTGGTTGGTTAGTCAGTTAAATCTGGTGGTAAAAGTCTCTTTACTGTTTTTTAATCTGTTTTATATCACTGTAAGTTTTTGGAGGGTTTTGTTTGTGTTTGAGGATGCTGCCTTTGCTGCTGGGATGCTGACAGACTCATAGAGTCAAATGATAATCAACACAGTCATTACTTCTAGTTCTTTTGTGTTTATGTTATAGCTAATTTTAAAAAGATTGAGGATCAAATTTATACATATAGGACAAATAGGAATAGGTGATTAAAGTGTTGGACGCCATAGCTTCGTCTGCCATATTTGAAACAAGAAAACTTCTAGTGCCTTCGTTGTTCATTCCTGCTTGTTTAAATGTTTTTGTTAATCTCCCTTTGGGATTTTAAAAGGTCTTCTTGTAAATGCTAATGATATCTTACTCTAATCTTGTGGTTTACAGTAAGAATGAATGGGATGCAGGATAATATGAATATAATTCTCTGCGTGGTAACAAATGTAAGTGATTGGTGGAGCTATATTAGAAGTAATACTACAGCTTTCAAAGCTGCCTGTACGTGTGTCCCTGTGGGACTCAGCAGGCTCACTGCTGTCTGAAATTCAGACCTCCTCAGCATGTTCTCTAACTTATTTTGATTGTATTGTTGTGACAGTGAGCCCCGTGACTGACACAGCCGATTTGAGTTCTAGAATGTAAACGATACGCAAGTGTTTTCCTCTGAACGCCAGTTTTATAGTGTTTCTTATTATAGTGACAAAAATGGAAATGAGCACTAGCAGCTGTCAGCATTTTGCCACTGTGCTCTGGGTTCATAGGATGTGTGTCAGCAGATGAGACGCTGAGAGCCATATTTGGAAGATGAATTTACTCTAATTGCACCAGTTTCGTTGGTTTAACAGAAATAAATGTGATTTGGTTCGGTCAGCTTGGTGTTTTTGTCAGTACTGTTCGCATTACTCTTTCCACACTTACTACAATTTTATTCCTCAATTCCTCACCTCAGACTAATAATCAGGGCTCGTCAGATTTCAGACGTCAATAAATTTACTTTTACAGGCATGTTTAAGGGACTTTCAACATGGCATGGTTGTTGGCTGTATACCTGTGATGTGAATCTCCCGTTCCACCAAACCCCTTAGTGCGCTACTTGGTTGAGATATGATAGCCGGTGTTTTTTTTATTGTCATGTTCAAGAAACAGTTTGAAATAATCTAAACATTAAGAGATGTGTATTCCTGCTGGAAGCTGTCATCAGAAGATGGCTACAGTGAGGTCATGAAGGGTGGACATGCTGTTCTTCTCTGACATCAAGGCATACGCTTTATTTTTTGCTGACCATTCTCTGGAAACTCAAGATGGCTTTGTGTGCTCATCTGGGAAACCAAAAACTATGCTGTGTTCAAAGCCTGAGTCACTTTGCAGTATTTTTACAAGGTAGTGTTGCAGTACTTTTTTCCACCAATGACAGGAACAATCAAAATGGATGAAAAATATTTTCTTTATTACAATCTTTTCCACTCATGTCTGTTAGTAGAAAGGTGTTTCACTGCATTACAGTGCAACAAAGTGATTTTGAACCATAGTTGTACCTTTGAAATGCATAGCTCTAAAGTCCATCCATAAATAAGCTTCTCGAGACAGGAGTATAGTGTCAGAATCTAAGGGGACGACAATGGCAATTTTCAAAATAAAATAAAATCTTTTACCGGCTCTACAGAAATGTCCCTTTTTACCCAAATGATCCTGAATGATGTTTCATTCTGATTACAACCCTTCATTGAGATTCACTACACAATTACTAATAATCCAACAAAACTTAATTAAAAAAAGAAATCGGTCACATATACATAACAATTATGCATAAATGAACATGAGTGAATAGTTAAAAAAAAAAAAAAAAAACTTCCAGGATAGTGTTCTATTATTACTGTATCTGGTGTGATACTGAGTGGGAAAAAAATGTACAAAGCTGCTTTAAATATTCACAAGTTAAACAGTAATTACAACAAAAATATTTAAGGCATCTTCAGTTCAATTCTGTACAATCACACAAAATCATTAGCCCTTCAGGGAGAAGAACAGAGAAAGCAGAACAAGCCGAGTGTTGACGCTTCATCGGTCGACGGTGCTCCAGAGGCCGGAGAAGATGTTTTTAAGGATTGTTTTCCACGACTGCAGGATGAGATGAGTCGAAACAAAAACAAAAAACAAAAAAAACAACTGCAGTGGGGTTTGTGAGATCGGCCTAACTTTAGACACGTCATCATTTTCAGCATTAACACACGATCGTTACCCTTCGATGCAGCTCGCTGACAACCTGCCGGTCCAAATTGGAAACCTTATTGGAAATTATTTTAAGGTCTATAAGTTTATTTTAAAAAAAAAGTTTCTTTAAAGCCCTAATTTGTATCAAATTCAGTCTTATTTAATTTAACAACTTAAAACAAGTCATTAAGAAAACTCTTAACAGGTATTTGATTCAGATTCAGCAGATATCAAAGAAATTTTACTTAAATTGTCACTCGTGATTGTCATATTTATGTGTTTAGTTAATTGCACAACAATCCATGAGGAACATGTCTCCATATTTAAAGCTCACTTAAATGCTTTGATATTTGCCCAAGCTAAAAAATACCTATTAAAAGATTTTTTTTTTTTTTTTGGTATTTTGTGTTGAATAAGCTGGAAGTGCCAAATGATGTTCAAAAAATTAAATCTAACAACATGCATTTACCTTGAAATTAAAATCTGAAAGACTTCATCAGGCAACTGGGTTTTCAAGGGAAACTTGGGTTAATTTTTCATTCAACAGATCCATGCTTGGTTGTTTTTTTTTTTCCTTCTTTTTTTGTATCACGGTAGTTTTATCTTTCCTCTTAGTGGGTGTGAGTTTTAATCTGAAGTGGTTACTTTGTCAAGGCTGCAGTGGCTCGAGGTCGAGGGTTTCTCCTCGTCATCGTGGTCGCTGTCTGCTTTCAGGAGCGGGAAGAGATCTGCGTCCCCTCCCGCCTCCTCCCGCCGGGCAAACCGTCAGTCGCGGTGCAGCTGGCTCGGCGTTGTGATGCTAAAGACGTGGATGCGCAGGTGGGAGGCGATCTGGAGGCACACGCCCGTGCAGTAGCGTATCAAATCCACACTGGAGAGGACCTGGAGCAAAAATAATAAAGACGTACTATGTTAGGTGATATAGTAATTTCAGATGCAATACAGGTCCCTAACAGACAGCATCATTAAATGGTACCACAAAGGATGATACAAGAACAGCCACTAGATACCGCAAGGAAGTAATTTACATGGAAATCTTTAGTTTTGTAGCAGTTTCCTTTCCTCCATTTAAAAAGTAAAGCAGTTCACTGCCATACCCCGAGACACGCACAAGCTTCTGGTTGTTGAGGGCTGAAGGACTGACACACACTTTGAAAACTAAGTAACCAACTTCCTGCTTCCTGTTTATGCAATCACATATTTTCTTGTTGTCATGGATGGCTATTATTTATAAAATGATCCTAACACGCATGTTTAGATGGACAATAAGTATTGCTATAAGGAAAACCAGTAAGCCAGAATCTGTAATACCGGGATGTGATTACTGACATTAGTAATACTTTTGCCCTCCCTAGTGTGGCATGTCAGTGTCAAATGAGGAAAACGTGTTTGCACACCTACGCTGGCTCCAAATTCAAATGGTGGTTTCCCATCAGCTATTAATATATTTGTTGACTCTGAGTGAATATCAGCGCACCATCTCGGCCGTCACACTGACAAAAGATTACCATTTATAGCAGAGAACATGGCTGTAAAGTTCTTTTGAAGTGTAAAGTTTTTAAACTGTATTTATCCTTTCAAAGCTGATCAGCTGGAAACCCTGTAGGGGTTTGCAACAGCGTGTGAGATACAACACGAGTCATGGGTGTCAAAGGAAGGTTTATCACAAGTCATCTCACTTGCATTGTAGAAACTTTGTGCTCTTTGAACCACAACTATAATGATTAGATGGCAACTAGCAGAGATAAGAGTCCCACAGACAGAAATGAAAGCCGCTGTGCTTATGAGAAGTTGATTTAACTGTGTGCGTATTAGTCATCAATGCTGACAAGTCCTACAAGTATATCAAGGCACTACGCTCCAATCTTATTTCTCTATTGTTATCATTATAATGAAAAGCTCTCAACTAAATAAAGTATGCAAGGAAAATAATTTAAGGTATTAACTATATACACATATAGGTAGAAGAGCAAAGAATGTGGCTACTTAGAGGTGACAAAAAGGGTGGGGCTGCATTTTAAACAAAGACACCTGTGAGATCAGTACTAACCATGGCGATCCAGAGGACTATGTGTTCGTCAATGAAGCTGTTAAAGTACTGGTTGAGGAATAGGAGGCCAGGCCCAATAAAGGCTGGGTCTGGTAGGTATAACTCACTCTTGGTCATGTGTGCCATCTACAGAAAAGATTCAAGAAAGAAAGAAAACACAGGTTAAACACTGGGTTAAACGATGGGTTAAAAAAGACAAAAGAAGATATGTGACAGTTCATTCAGGCAATTAAGAGAACACCAACGTACCACCAGCTTGTTGGAAATCTTGGCGATAACCATTCCAAAGGTGAGCAGGTACAAACAGGGGTGGTGCTCAAACAGGTGGCTGGATGACTTCTTGAAAATGATGAAGGCCAGTGTAAGGATGAGGCTGATGTGCAAACCGGGACTCAGCACGCTGGTGTCCTGAAGAGCAGAAACATTGATTAGTTTTTGCGCTTTACACATTTTTTTAAAATATTAAAATAATGCTGTATTTACAACTTACAGCCACAGTGGAGCCATTTTTGCCAACCCCTCCATTCAAAATGACATAGAAATAGTTGTAACAGGAGTACAGGGCTCCCCCGATGATGCCCATGACGGGGAAGGCATACAGCTTCAGTCCGATGATGGGCAACTATGGGAACACATTGAGGTCAAAATAAAGAGAAAACAAGAAGCGTTCTCCTTATAAAATAGAAAAGTGCTTATATGAAAGCTGCAGCATGCTGAGCATGATGGGAGGGCAAAGCAAATAAATAAATAAATATATCCAAATAAAACACAAACAAATGCGGGCGACATCATCAGCTTTTTGAGCCAGATCATGTCCAGTAGATGACCTGTTGCCATGGCTTTAGCTACCCATATTTACCTTCTCACTTCTCTCATGTGATGTTAAGTCAAGCCTCCAAAGGCAGCACAGAGTAAAAGTAAAACACAAATTCTATTTAAAGACTAGCATGACAACTAAAGCCTAAGAAGTGATTCAGTTAGTTTGTCTGGTGTAAAAACTAAGGAGAAAAAGGTTTGACTATACACTTGAGGTGAAATGGAAGTGTCCCTGTGTGTACACTATTTGTGCAGGCGAGTGTGAAGAAATGGATTCTCAGTTACCGTGTACTGCCAAAGGCTCACGCCTCCGAAAGCTGACATCACATACATGATTATGATGGCGAATTGCACCTCTGTGACATCAACCCTGTGCAGAACATATGAGGGAAGTGTGAGATAAGTGACAGTGCGAAGGTTTAACAACAGCATCGGTACTGCAGCATTTTTAAATGCCACTGTGTGACCGGATCCTACAATTAGATGTTCTTATAAAACAAGCCATTCAACATGGGCTGTGGGTCTTTTCTCCTCTTCCAGGGGAACACATACACCTCATACCAACTGTCAGGCATGGTGGTGTAAGGGTGATGGTTTGGGCTGGTTTGTAGCCACAGGACCTGTGATCACTGAGTGAGCCATGAACTCCTCTGTATACCAAAAGCATTAAATACAAGGCCATCTGTCCGACAGCTAAAGCTTAGGCCAAACTGGGTCATGCAACAGGACAAATATCCCAGGCACAGCAGCAAATCTAAAACAGAATGATTGATAAATAAGAGTATAAAATGTT